TCACTGGGAATAAAAAAATAATTTAGCTGATGCAGAGAGACATATAACCGAGGGAATCCCCCCATCTCCCCACCCTCTGAATATTACCTATCATAACATAACTACGTGTAAATGTTATTTGGTGGTTTTTACTTGGAAAACCAGCTATATTTAACTATGGATAAACCTGAAATGATAGAAGGATTGGAGATTAATTTCATTTACAAATAAGGTAGGAAATGTGCATACTTTTAAATCGACACCTGCCACGGTGTTTCTTATTTGTCATCTGTGATCCCTTTTGAGTGTCCTAAAAACCGATTGGGGGGGGGGGGTCTTATCACTCAGCATACCCGGTTAAAAAAAGTCACCGCTCGCCACTGTATTATATATTTACATTTCAAATAAATGCTGTTCTTTTGAACTTTCTATTCTATTCTATTTCCATCAAAAAATCCTGAAAAAAGTATCACGGTTACCACAAATATGTTAAGCAGCACAACTGTTTTTCAACATTGATAATAAGAAAAAATGTTTCTTGAGCACTGGATCAGCATATTAGAATGATTTCTGTTGTATTGTGTGACACTGAAGACTGGAGTAATGGCTGCTGAATATTCAGCCCACTTTGCCATCATAAAAATAAATGAAAAGATTAAAATTTACATTAAAAAATTTAAAATAATTTTAAAGTTATTTTATGTTGTGATATTTCGTAATATTACTGTTTATTTTTGACCAAATAAATGCAGCCTTGATTATAATGTTTTTCAAAACATTGAAAAAAATCTTACTGACCCAAGACTTACAGTAGTACATTTATCTCAATAAACTTTTTTTTTTTTTATATATATACAGCTTGGCATTTTTACACTTACTGCTTGTCCGAAATAGCATTTTGGACTCTTGGGCAGTGCTCAGGGGTTAAATATGCCGCCTTCAACATGAAAAATATTTTATTAATGTTTATTCAAGGATATTTGTCATGAATAAACCTGTTAAATGTGACTCTTAACTTAATTTCTCCTTCAGGATCCAGATAAGTTCCAGTTTGGAAAGACAAAGATTTTCTTCAGGGCAGGTCAGGTGGCCTATCTGGAGAAGCTCCGAGCTGATAAGTTCCGCTTCGCCTGCATTAAGATCCAGAAGACAGTGCGAGGATGGCTGCAGAGAATTCGGTACCGCAAGATCCGCAAGTCTGCTATCACTCTGCAGAGATATGGCCGGGGTTACATGGCACGCAGGTGAATGTTTGAGAAGACTGCTCTTAGATTGAACTTCACTGGCATGTTTGTCGCTCTACTTACAGCTCTTGTTCTCCCATTCTCTCTCAGATATGCAGAGATGCTTCGTCTGACCCGAGCAGCACTTATTTGTCAGAAGCAGTACCGGATGGTACGAGTTCGACAGGAGTATCTGAGGATTCGGCGGGCTGTGATCACCATTCAAGCGTTTGCCCGGGGCATGTTCATACGCAGGTTATATCAGGAGGTACTGCACTGCGCTTTATCTTTTGTTTCACTCTCTTCAAGCTATGTTTCTTTAAAGCACAGTTTTAAGCTGCATTTTCTGCATTTTCAGTTCTTGCTCCATCACAAAGCCATGATTATACAGAAGACCGTCCGTGGTTGGCTCGTGAGAAAGAAGTATCTCCGTGCCCGAAATGCTGCCATTGTCATCCAGTGTTTCTACCGCCGCGTACGTGCCAAGCGCCAGCTCAAACAGCTTAAGATAGCGGCCCGTTCGGCCGAACACTTTAAAAATCTCAATGTCGGAATGGAGAACAAGATCGTGCAGCTCCAGAAGAAGATGGATAACCAGGTACAGGAAGATAATATAATGCATAAATGATTGCAGAATCACCAAAACCAACTGACATGATGTTGAGTATTTATCTCTTTTCTTTACAGTCAAAAGAGCATAAAACTCAGAACGAGCAGCTGAATGTTACTAACACTGCTCTGGGATCAGAGGTCACTAAGCTCCAGAAAGAACTGGATACTCTCCGCATTCGGCAGACTGCTGGCACTCAGGTGACATCACTGCAGGAAGAGCTTGAGAAGTTGAGGGTGGAGCTTCAGGAAGCCCACGCCCAGAGGAAGCAGATAGAGGAGGAGTTCAGCAACGAGAAACAAGGACTCGAACAGGTGAGAAAGGATGCTCAGATAACTAGTTGATGTTTGTTGATGTTCTTTGTCTCAAGATTTAGGGTTAGGGTTAGGGTTAGCTACATGATTTCGTATTTCTGCATCATTTAAGTTGTCTGAGGGTAAATAGTTGAATGTTACAAAAACAGATCAGTGCATTTAGCTTTTCAGTTTCCACAGAAAAAATGACACTCTATCTCTCATAACAGGGCAGCTGTTGCATAACTAATGTCTGTCATGCACAAGCAAAGTTAATAATGCATGGAAATTGTTTAAAGGGGTCATATGATGCGATTTCAAGTTTTCCTTTCTCTTTGGAGTGTTACAAGCTGATTGTGCATAGATAAGATCCCTGAAGTTGCAAAGACTAAAGTCTCAAAACCAAAGAGATATTCTTTATCAAAGTTAAGACTCTGCCACGCCCCCCTAAAACGGCTCATTCTAAAAAACGAAGCGTTTGAGAGGGGCGGGGCATAGAGGACCTACAATAATGTACAGTATTTGAAAAATAATGTGTTTTTTGAACATTAAAGCATGTCAACATATTCTGTTACACCAAATACACAAAATAATGATCTTTAAAAAAGCATCATATGACCCCTTTAAGAGGATTGACCAGCTCACAAAAGGTCTCTTGAAATGGAATAATCAGCTAGTTTGTCTTTAATGTGATCATCTCCCTCATGTTTTGATGGTAAGAGTTAAAAATAATAAATGTAAATTATAGTAATGACTTAAAATATATTCACTGCACTTAAGTAGTGTTTAAGTTTATTCTCTTATTTTTCTTGTTTTTTTTTGTAATAGAAACATATAATAAATATATGTTTATATATACATACACTACCATTCAAAAGTTTTGAGATCGTAAGATTTTTAATGTTTTTGAAAGTCTCTTATTTTCACCAAGGCTGCATTTATTTAATCAAAACTACAGTAAAAACAGTAATATTGTATAATATTATTACAATTAAAAATAACTGTTTTCTATTTGAATATATTTTAA